TGCTGAAATAAAGCAAGAAACTTTATTAATTGATAATATTATAGATTTGATACAAAATTATTTAGAAGAAGGTGAAAGATGACTATAATTTGCAAGCCAAAAATATGAGTTATTCACTGAAGGATTTGGTGGCTCAATTTTTAGACAAACAACTAAAAATTAATAAGTTAATAGAATAAACTGTATAACGATAACCTGTCATTAAAATTTTGTAATTTAAATTCTACATCTGTATTATAAAAAGACCAGTTGGAGTTGATAGTAAAAAAAAATTTATTGCCTGAAATTATCATTTAGGTTGCGACACAAGATACGACATGACATACAACTTTTGCTGTATGCCATTACGAGTTACAACTGGCTTGTATAATAGCATTGCCAATATAACACCAAGTTATGCCCGCAACTCTAATGTATTTTAAATCAATTAATATTAATATGGTTATACATTAAGAATTACCTTCAAAAGACCCAAAAATTTGAATATATAGAACATCAAACTGCAAAACCTTTTATAGGAAATGGTAATCTTGTTATAGGAAAGATTTCAAGTAACCTTTTAACATATACATTAAAAGCTGTGAAAGAAATTTTACTTCCTTTGATGAGAATTTCAAATGAAGCATACTACGATTTAGTGAAGGAAATTGAAATTGAACTTTATAGTGGAAAAGCAGGTCCTATTCTATAAGTCATAGAATATTTGAAAAAAAAGAATCTACTTGAGAAATTGACTCATTGACATATTTTTTTTTTTTTTTTATATACAATGACTTTCCATAAATCTCTACAAATTGGGTTTATAAATTTTTTATTATTTTTATAACCTTTAGTAAAGAAACCTCGTGTTCTTTATCTAATATTTACTACACATTGTAGATATTTTATTAGTTTTATTATTATTCTATATTAGTATTTTATTATTATACTAGCATATCATGCGTCGCAATCGAAAGAATTTTTAAAATATTATATTATCATAAAATAATTAACCTTTATAACTTTTTATAAGGTAATAAGACCAGTCCATTAATGTTCTTCGGTCCAATCTCGGTCACAAAAACGGTCCTTTAGTTATTTACAGCTGTTATCATTATTTTTGGGACTAATGATACCTGACGAAACTATTTTGGCCATGATGAAATGGTTTCGTCAATAGTTTCGTCTGACGAAACTTTGACGAGTGACGAAACTACAGGCGTTTGACGAAATTACTGACGATTGACGAAACTCATGATGAAATTAATTTGAATAATAAAATATCAAAATACAGTTGACCCTCAGTCGATAAGCTTCATTATAACGACCTCTGGATATTCTGAATCATATATTTTTTCCAAA